CTGAAGTTGTAAGTATACTACAGATTTAAATACTATTGTAATAAAAATATACTGCCACATCTTTTTAAAACCAATAATAATTAAACAATAATTAAATTGATTATACAATATCAAATTATAAAGTAATTTAATCAATATATTATAGGATACACACTCAAGCACATGTATATATACACATATATGTATACCTTCTACACATTTTAAAGCAGCCATCATTGGATCTTCAGATTGTGTAGATATTACAGTTTTCACCACACCCTTATACTTGTGTCTCTCTTCACGTTCCTCTTGAATCATCTTTAACTCCTCTTTGAATAATTCAAGGTTGCTCTTCTTTTTCTCACCTTCTTTCTTCTTCTTGCCTAGCCTATCTAATTTTCGTTCGTTTGTTCCAAGTAATCTTGCATATTCTTGAGCTTGTTCAGCCGATGATCTATTATCAACTAGTTCTGAGATTTTTGACTGTGGTTTGTAAAGCTTTCCTTTTTCTCTTGTATCTTCCTCTATAAAAAGAATAAAATTTATGATTTACATAACAAAGTAACTTTAAATGCATATTATAATTTCATATTTACGTCTTTTTCCTGCATCATACGTTCCAGCTTTTACCCAAACCTTATTAGTTGTTTTACTAGGTGTTTCTTGAAATGTTGCTACAAATTCTTCAAATGCCTGTACAGAATACACGTAATTATCTATATAAAATATCTGACAAATATAGAAGAAGACTGTATGAGATATTCACCTGAGCCGCAGCTTGTTCTTGCTCCTTCTTACGTTGTTCTTCTAATTCCTTTTTACTTAATGGCCTTTTACCCATTGTACCAATGGAAAAGGCTTTAAGCTTTTGCTCCGCAATTTGCTGTAAATATAGAATATAAGTTCAAGAATATGCAAAGAAACATAAAAACGATCCCAATGTACAAAGAAGTACCTTCATCATAGCCTTATCCGCCATTTGTAAAGAAATGGTCTAACCTAAAAAAAAGGGAGAAAATTACATAAATTGACTAAAATTATTAATTTAATTACCAAAAGGATAAATTCACAAAAATAAATAATGCATACAAGTTAAATGTTATAAATATCCGTTACAAAATTTCGAATCCATTCAATGAAATATATGTAGAACGTGCAAATACGGTAATAAACTTTAAAAATGTTGAGAAAACAATTGGCTGAAGTAATACGTATGTTGGCAGCTGGACGATTACAGTAGCAATCGATTTATACAAAAACGTAGAATTCCGTCAAAATAAAATCATCCGTCAATGTCAAACGTACTTTATCACACTTCACACGCGAAAAAATCATAAATTATAATATCTCTTTTTCAGGAATCTCATGATAATAGCGACACCTAGGATTGCGTCTTTTGGCGTCTCATGGGTGCGTTCCACTTATAACGTTCACACACTGATTATTATTTCATCCTTGTGTCATCAAATGTTAAACAAGAATGAAATGATGATTGATGCATGAAATGACTATTTGAGAAGCTGCGCATAATCAAAGGAACAGGGAACAGAGAATAAAGCCTGATGCATAATAGAGGGTGTGCGTTCCACTTGATGCTTTAAAGCCTACGGCATATAATGCTTGTTTTCCTGCTGGATTGCTAGCTGGATTAGAATCTTGTCACCGTATTGGCTGCGATACTGGCACTGACAGTATCGCAGCCAATTAAGATTCTTATGGCTGTTTTTCATGCTAACGCTCATTTTCAGCGTCAAAACAGATCTCGTGATCAAAATTGATGCTTAGTATTCGCCAATTTTGATCATGTACCTGTTTTGACACTCGAATCTAGCGTCGAGCGTCAGCATGAAAATGCCTAAGAACTTATACAATACTTGGGCTACGTTCCAAAACTTTTTCTTCGAAAGATTTTATATGCTATAGTATACGTTACGTATACTATATATTTCGAGTAAAATTTTCCTCAGAGAAGAAGTTTTGAAACGTAGCCCTAAGAGATTGAAATTTATTATTTCCTGTTCTTATTGCCTGTGTTTTTCAATTGTGCGTCAAGCTTAACAGTTTATGGCTATAAATGATTCTTTAGTTTAACTACAGAAAACGGCCCTATGATGGCTGCGATCGAAGTCTCTACAAACCAATTAGAAAAAAAGAATTTTATAAATTGACCAATTAAAAATTACTTTAAAGCATTTGTAGCATCGCATTGACCGTACCCTATATCGGGTGCTTTCCATTTGATGACACAAGTCGATACAAGTGTCATTCTATCTTTGTCTAACTTTGTCACTCTCTGAATGTCAACAAGGATAGAACGACGTTTGTGTTGACTTTGTTTGCCATCAAATGGAAAGCAACCATCATTGATCGATACAAACGTATCACATGCCGTATTGCGACATCGTCACTTGTCACCTGAACCAATCGCAGCTGATCACGACATCACATGTGCGTACAGTTTAATCCGTGGTTGTCAAGTAGTCTTCTAATTGTGTAAAATTGTCGGTATATCGGCTGTGATCTGTGATCGGCTGGTCGTATAGGATCGACGACGAAAAATGCACGTTCGATGTTAAAAGATGATGATGAATTGACTCGTATGCGAATGATGATGCTTCCAAATGAGGTTAATAATGTTATCTGCCGACGAGTATTCAGGTTATCAGGTTATCGAATATCACCCTAATGTTAATGTTGTTACTTTTCCGAAGGTCCTGTCGTAGACAAGAAAATTATCCGACGTGAAAAAGACGTCACGAAACTCTGACGAGCGTAACTCTTACCATCCTATACAATCCAGAGAAAATGTACTGCCTACAGTGGCTGATCCCGGTGCTGCTGATACCGAAACCCGTGAACCCGGCGCTGCTGCAAACCCACGTCATGTTCATGGCACTTTATCTGATTGGGTTCTTCCTAGAGCGCAAGCCCTGTACTATCTGCAGTCTTGTATTCCTTGCTGCTGTCTTCCTCATTTGTTACAGTGGAATAGGCAATTGCCTACTCTGGAGCACAAATTGTGACACAGTAAGATGCGACAATGGCTAAGATCATGCCAACTGTGTTTAACTCGATAATATTTAGAGAATTGTCCCCTTGTCAGTTTTTTCCAATGCGTGCACATGAGTGAATTTTTGCCATTTTCTTCCTCTTTCTCTCCATATTCTGGCATAATACGAAAGTAGCTTTTCAATCCGTATTTTGCTAGCATCTGTTTTACCCATATTGTGAAAGCGATGCCTTTAGTGTTTAGGTTTAACAAGTTTAGCTTTTCAAATTATCAAAATTTTAGTCTAATGTTCTATTTAGTCTAATGTTCATGTTTCATTGAACATTTTCATGCTGAATTTATGTAGAGTTCAAATTTTGAAATTTTAAATAAACAAAAATGTGATACAATATATTTGAGATTTATAGTTTGAGTTTGGTCACAATTGTTGAGTGGAGTTAAATTTCCAGATTTTAGCATTATGTAGTCTTTTTTTGTTAATATATATTATGTAATAAATGCAAATTTCATTTATTAATTATAATACATTTGCTACAACAGAATAAAACAAAAACCGAAGCTTATACAGGTAACAACATATTCCTTTATATTTATTCATAGTTTCTAAAGGCAGTTTTTGTTCCAATCTCTTCAATATGATTCTAAATAATGTTTTTCCAAATAAAATCCAATATTCTTCCTTATGCGTTATGCATTAAAAAAATACATATAACAATTACATAGAGTTACAATTTTTGTTAAAATCACTTGCATCAAACAATATATCAAATGATTATTTGATTGATGTCAGATGCAAAATGAACATTAATTTTTTAAATACTTTAACCGAACACTTAACAGGATTTTATATATTCACACAATATGTACAATGCACTTGGTATCAAAGTGATACGACATATGAAAACTGAAGCATCTCGAAATTTAAGATGCTATCATTTAGTAAAAACATGAAAATTTGACAAGTTGTTTATCTACATGGAACTAGAAAATGTCGATTGATTTAAAATAATAAAAATTAAAATAATGTAGTGCAAATATTATAAAATTTAGCCAAGCGAGTGTTATATGAGATTAAAATTTCTCAAATAAGTACTTGTCAAATCTGTCCTAACTAAAAAATATAATGTGCAGAACTAAAAGTCAATGTGAAATATGTCTTATTGCTGGTTTGGTTTTATGTTGTCAGAAGTATAAATTGTATTTATTTTTTTAATTTGTATGTCTCATAAAAAGATTTAAGTGAGATATAAGTTCTGTGCTATATTTATGATTGTAAATTTACTTGCTATTTACAAATGTTAATATAATTATCTAATTTAGCATAAGTAGCATTACCAATGTAAATAATATAGGTAATCATAGTAACCAAAAATTATTATCCATATAATAGTTTATGAATATGGATAAACTGAACTAAAACATTAAGTCATGTCGATAAATCTTTTATATCTGATGTCTCTGAAGGATATATGTGAAGGTCAATTATCTTCCTGCATCTATCGTATAAGCTTATATTGTAACATTTTGACATAAAACAAGGAATTCCTTTAGAAAAGTTGCAAAAGCTACAACAGTCTTAGACACATTTTTTTATTCAGATTCGAGTGAAAGCTTGACCAGGAATTTTTGCAACTATACAAAAATTGTATCTATATTCCTTGGTATGTAAGCACATATAAAGAATCTGTGATGACTTTGATTGGGAAATCTCGATTAGACACAATAGATTTATCTGTTCGTTAAAACAAATTAGCATTAAAAATATGTTCAACTTTCCCACAATACTATTGTTTGTAATCATACCTACATTGCTTCCAAATATAAACTGAGAAACTTTACAAAAAAATAAATATAAGAACTATAAATTTATAAATACATTATAAAGTAATAAAGAAATCCCCAATCAAGTAAATTTGTTTCTTTTTCTTCAATGCATACCATATATTATAATAGAAACACATTGATGAAAGTATCACATGTATTAAATGTTAAAATAAAAATAACATATAAGTTTTGTTTTTTAAAGCAAATTTATTTTATATTAAAAAAAATTACTGAAGAGCTTTTCCACGACCGAAACCACCGCGGAACTCGAGATCGCCGGTACCTGCACCAACATCGGCCTTTTTGTCACCGGCACTCGGAGGACCACCTGGTCCTCGTCTATATCCTGTACGATCTTCTGTTGGTCTTGAGCCTTCGCTCCTAGTTGCCGCAGGTCTCGGTCTTGTAGTTTCGGATCTCGGTTGTTTCTTAAGAGTGGAGGGTACAATTTCAGGTGGTAAGTGTAAGTATCCACGTAGATATTCGATACCATCATTTGTCAGGTACCAATAGAAATGTCGCCATGCAAACTGTTCTTTGACGTATCCTCTAGACTTCAAAGACTAAAAAGATAGATAGGTAAGTATATATACATACATTGGAAATCTTAATTTACATTAATGTATAAGTTAATGATAATATTTACAATGCAATAAAATTTTATTCTTTTTATGCGATTAAAAAGAAATAGTAAAAATTTTTACCTGCATAGCCTTAATGACTTGAAGATTAGGAATATTTTCTAATTCTGGATGTTTCGATGCATGATAATCCTTCTTCGCTACCATGACTCCCTCCTTGAAAAGGTACTCATAGATAGCTACACGATTCTTTTTTGGCATCAACATTCTATGAAACAATAATAAAAATGATTTAATACATATTAATATAATAAATGTTATAACCTAAAAACAAGACTGAAAGGTATACTATCTTTAAGGTTATGTATAGTAATAACAAAATAGATATTATAGGCTAATGCAGCTGCACTATTATAAATTACGTTCCAAAATTACTGTTTGCATAGCTATAATTATGAATAATACTAAAAAACGAGTTTTTATTAAAGGAAATCGCACGAGAATAAGACGTATACAATTCGTAAATACTCCACGTAATAACATATAAAAATTGAATATAATGAAATATACTTGATTTAGATAACTTATGGATTTTGATAAACTTTTTGCTTCCTTGTAATTTTTATAAATAAATAGGATTAAAACGGATATCGCAGGAAATACGACCCACTTGACGACTTCAATGTGCGCCTGTTGTCGGAAAGAACCATTCGCTCTCGCTCATGTGGCTCGTGGACAATATCGATATCTCGAATAATTCGAGATGAGCGGAAATAGCTATATTTCTGTCGCGTCACTTGCACTTTTTGCACTCAGCATTTATGTTTTCTCCTTTCAACATCAAAATATATACTTATCTCGTTTTAAGTATAAACATTTTTTGAGATTTTAAGCATTTCTTCAAGCAATGTGACAAACTTTTTCTAAAGATTGGCCTACAGTTCACGATATAAAAATGACCAATCGCGTGTCAAAATTCGGAAATTGTGCACATATGAACGTATGCATAAATATTGTGTATGTACATATGTGCACACATACATACAATATATTGTATATATGATTATGTGCCTAAATTGTAACCTGCAAGATTTTTGGCGCAATTTTTAACTAGATAAAAAACATAAAATATGTACATTTCTTCTATTCTTTAGAATTCTATAATACAGGTTTATAGAGAATTCTCATCAGAACATACATAGATTCATCATTTAAATCCACAACTGTTTTAGTTAAAAGAATTAGAGAAGGTTCTGTCCCTAACAATTTTCTATACGAATATTTATTTTAATTTTTTTTTCCTGTTTATTTTCTTAAGAATTTAGTTCAAATATATTTTTCGTCTTTTCGCAAATACAATATTTTATATTTTATACATGTACGCTATTTTGTATATAATAAAATTAAAAGGAAATAATAAAAAACTCTATACATTCTATTTCATTTCCTTTGCCATATTTAAAGCATTTTTTAAATCCATCGATATATTTAAAAAAATTATGATTAAGTTTTTGATTAAAGTTTGAAAAATCTTGTCCCACGATGACAACAAATGTTTCAACGAACTGTAATTCCTAATAGTTCCTGCACACTGAACGTGAAAACACTTGTTATTATTATATTAATAGTTATTGCTCATATATGATCAATATTGGGAGCTTTCCAACAGAGGTACAAATCGACACAAGAATCATTCTGTCTTTATTTCTTACTGATTATCGAACAAGGATAGGACAACTTTTGTGTCAATTTGTATCTCTTGCTGGAAAGCTCCCATCATTGAGAAATCTATGTGTGATAGTTTCATTCAAATATACTTTTTTCGTAAATTTTATTCGGAATTCAATTCATTTTCAAATTTAATGATCCTTATTATATTCTAATATTTGTTAAATTATAATTATATTCTAATATTTTTTAAAAAAGTTCAATATCAAAATATGACTTTATTTATCATTTGCTGATCAAACATCAATGTTATGGTAACAAGAATTGATTTTCTTTCAAATATAATCTTTTTAGGTGAGAAACAATGTTACATACACAAATGAATATCATGTTATACTACGTATATAACCATATATTAATTTTGCAGCATCTTTGACTTATTTTTAGATTGCAGTATAATCTCTATTGTATTTAATATTGTATTTTTTTTGTATTTTTTTTATGGGTAAGTTTCAAAACAGATATATGACAGAAATTCACTGTGGTTTAATTTGAAAATAATTTGAATTTCAAAAAAAATATCTATGGTAATTATTAGGTGTACAATTTTGCTTCCGCTGTTTTCCTATAGATGGCTTTAGCGGTAAGTACAATGATATAAACTACATGGGCTGAAAAGTCCCGGGATTTTTCAATAGGTGGCGCCACTAGAAAATGAATTGTGGAGAATTCTTAATGCCTCACTAGCGCAGCGAGTGTAGAAAGCT